TAAATAAATAAAATCTTTAAAAAAATTTTTTTATATCTAAGGGGGTGGCGCTCAGTCGGTTAGGCATCTGACTCTTGATTTCAGCTCAGGTCATGATCTCAGGGTCCTGGGATCAAGCCCCACGTGAGGCTCCATGCTCAGCTGGGAGTCTCCTTGAGATTCTCTCTCCCTCTTCCACTGCCCCTACCCCCCTTGCCCACACTCTCAAATAAACATAATAAACAAATCTTTAAAAAAAATCTTTATCGGGGCGCCTGGGTGGCTCAGTGGGTTAAGCCTCTGCCTTCGGCTCAGGTCATGATCCCAGGGTCCTGGGATCGAGCCCCGCATCGGGCTCTCTGCTCAGCAGGGAGCCTGTTTCCCCTCCTCTCTCTCTCTCTCTCTCTGCCTGCCTCTCTGCCTACTTGTGATCTCTCTCTCTGTCGAATAAATAAATAAAATCTTAAAAAAAAATCTTTATCTAGGAATATGTACACATGGTAAGTTTGGGAAGTAATGGTGGCCATGCAGAAACTTAAAATATGCAACATCAGAGTGGTGGGCTACCCGTTTTTCCCTTTTGTGTGTTAAAAGTATATGTAAGTAGTTAAACAATTGGACTGGGTTCCTGGGGTTGCAGGATGACACCAGAGAGGACGGAAGGTGGATCAGAGTATTTCTGGCATCTGACAGTTCCTACAGGACTAGATGGCCAGATGGAGACAGACTTTTCTCCTCTGCTTCCCAGTATGCAGGCTGATTAAGGGAGTGCAAGGGAAGGGCTGAGAAGGGATCCAGGGGTTGGGTGATCGACCACATGGTCTATCCAGGACAGAGGGTTTTTCCAGAATGTGGAACTTTCTGTGTTAATACCAGAAAAGTTACAGGCAAACTGGGACAATTTGGTCATCCTATCTGGAAGGTTTCTATCTGCACTTCCTTGGAGCTTGAAGCAGCTAAGTAAACCTTTTAGTGGTTAAGGACTCAGAACATGGGGGTAGGGAAGTATGGAGGGATGATGCAGAAGAGAATAAGGTGACCATGACACTTTCTGAACACTTGAGCATCCATCTTCCTTTGGCCTAAAAAGAAGATGCCATAGCTGAGTTACACAACCTGATTTTTGAGTCACACGAAAATGTAATGGAAAGTAATTCTGGCAGATACACATATTTTAAAGACTAGGCTCAAACAGGTTACTGGGGAAAAAAGGGAAGAAAAGATTACCTGTCAAATAAGAGAAAAGCATTTAACCTCGAAGAGTGGGTGGAATACCAACGCACTGAGCAATTTTATAAATTGGGCACTTCAGCTTTTAAAGAAGTACAATACTTCTTATAATTTCTAAATTGAGTTACTTGTCCATCCATGAAAAAAATGTGACTTGTATTCATTTTTCTCAGAGCTGGTTAAAATGAAAGACAGCTGTCCAAGCACATCCCATACAGTGATCCACCAGTGAAAGGTGCACAGAAGACCAGGACACAGGGGTGCACCCAGAAAAAGCTTGCAGTCCTATATGCTTGGAGCACCCTTCAATGGCTTAATATGTGCAAGGCACTCTGCTAGGCACAGGCAGACACAACTTCTACTTTTAAGAAACTCACAGGTTCAAATCAAGGCACAGGTGGGTCTCTTATGAACAAAGCGTTCTAATACCATTTCCTTATCACCTTAATAGCATGGTCTGCAAAATTCTACGGGAACCCAAGCGAAGCAGCCATGTTCTCCATGTATAAACCCGACTACTGGACCTTACTGCATCTGATCTTGCCTCTCTCCTGAATGCTCAACTTATCTCCGACTACTAGACCCTTTCCTCAACATGTTAAGTCTCTTCTGCCCTCAACAGCCCATTCAAAAAATCTTGCCTTGCTACTGAGTTTTTATGTTGCTAATTTAGCAAATAAAAATAAACACTGCACACTTAGATCTGAAAATCAGATAAACAATGGATTTTCTTCTTTTAGTGCAAGAATGTCCTGTGTACTATTTGTGACATATGCTAAAAAATTATTTATTGCACATCCAGCAAACTAAGAACAGAAAGGAACTTCCTTAACATGATAAAGGGTATTCATGAAAAACCCACAGCTAATATATTCAATGGTGAAAGACTGAAAGAATCCCCCATACGATCGGGAACAAGAGAAGGATGCCTACTTTTACCACTTCTATTCAATTTCATCTAAGAAGCTCTAGCCACAGCAAGTAGGCAAGAAAAAGAAAAAGGTCTCCAAAGTGGAAAGAAAGGAGCAAAACTACCTTTATCCATAGATTATACGATCATATATACAGAAACTAGTACAGAATCAACACACACACACAAACCATTACAGCCAATAAAAGAACTAGGCAAAAATGCAGGATAAAGCATCCATTTCTAAACATTAGCAATGAGCAATTCATAAAGACATTAAGATAAAAATTCCATTTATAATGGCATTAAAAAGAATAAAAATATTTAGGAATAAATGTGACTGGGGAGGTGCAAAACTTATACACCAAAAACTACAAAGTATTGCTAAAAGTGAAAAAGATCTAAATAAATTAAAAGACATCTCCTGTTCATGGTTTAAAGACTTGGTATTGTTAAGATTGAAAGATGCTAGGGGTGCCTGGCTGTCTCCATTGGTAGAGCATGTGACTCCTGATCTCAGGGTCATGAGTTCAAGCCCCACACTGGGCATGAAGCCCTTTTTAAAAAAAAAAAAAAAAGAGAGAGAGAGAAGAAAAGTAAGATGCTAAGCATCATTAGTCACTAGGGAAATACAAATCAAAACCACAATGAGATACCACTTCATACTCACTAAGATAGCTATTTAAAAAAAAAAACCAAAGAACAGAAAATGTGTTAGGAAAGATGTGGAGAAAGTGGAATCCTAATACATTGCTTTTGGAAATGTAATATGGCACAGTCACTGTGGAAAAGTTTGGCAGGGGGCACCTGGGTGGCTCAGTCAATTAAACCTCTGCCTTGGGCTTGGGTCATAATCCCCAGGGTCCTGGGATCAAGCCCCAAGTCAGGCTCCCCCGTATTCAGTGAGGAGCCTGCTTTTCCCTCTCCTTATGTAGTTCCCCTTGCTTGTGTTCTCTCTAATAAATGAATAAAATTTTAAAAAATAATATAAAAGTTGATTCCCTAATCAACTGATCAGCAAGTCTTGCTTCTCTTCTTCCAAACATCTCTGAAACTCAGACCTTCCATTCCCATTCTGGCCCTCAGTAGCTCTCACCTGAACTCTTGCACACATTTGTGAGATATTCTCCTTAATAGATTTCATGCAGGGGCGCCTGGGTGGCTCAGTGGGTTAAAGCCTCTGCCTTCGGCTCCAGTCATGATCCCAGGCTCCAGTCATGATCCCAGGTTCCCGGGATCAAGCCCCACATCAGGCTCTCTGCTCAACAGGGAGCCTGCTTCCTCCTCCTCTCTCTCTCTGCCTGCCTCTCTGCCTACTTGTGATCTCTATCTGTCAAATAAATAAATAAAATCTTAAAAAGAAAAAAAAAAAAGATCTCATGTATCCCGACCCCCCAATCTAGTTCTATCCTTTTTAACCTAACAGTCTAAACTCCTTTAGAGGCACTCCAGCCCCTATAGACTTGGGCTCTTTAGCAAGACCCTAAGTTGTGACCCAGATCCACTCTCTCTACCCCTACCCTCTGCCTTCTTTCCACGCCAACCCTCCAGCAGTGCCCAACCACTCTAAATTCCCAGACCATACTCACTAACATTATCATCTCTGTGCCACAACTCATTCTAGGCACTGTAGAGAAATTAGTTAAGTAGACACAAAGGTCTATCTTAACTCAAAGGGCTATCTTCCAACAGGGAAACCAGTAAGTAAACAGAATAATTTCTGATACTGCTGAGTGCAGTGAGGAAAATGAAGCTGAAGATGACAGAGCACGATCAAAAGCCAACAGGGGTACTGTTTTGGCATGGGCAGGGAAGTGGACTTTGAGAGGAAACCTGAATATTGGTGGAAGGGATTCTTTTTTAAAATTCTCAGACCCCAAATGTTTACAAAGGTTACTTGTATTAATTAGCTTACATACATACAGGATCCATATACACAGAATCTATATATATAATCTCTTTAGCTTGTGGCTCTAATACGACAAACCTGAAGCCCACTAGACTTCCTAACATAATGCATTTCCTTCTTGTCTGAGCCACTTATCATGAAAAACATTCTACCTCATCATCAGATACGGGAATCGCTGGCCCGAGAGGCATTCACTTAATTCTACTCCTCTCAGTCCAACTTCAGGGAGAAAATATTTGGAGGGAAGGGTAGGGAGACAGTTTATACAAGAGAAGTAGAAATGCAGAAGAGGTGGGGCTAGAAGAGGACATTAAGCTCACTAATTCTGAAATGGCTCTTGTAAACACAAAGAACAGTAACTAAGGACAATCAACCAAATCTAAATGAGAATGAAATTTTAATATTATTTATTTATTAGATTTTATTCATTTGACAGAGAGAGGTCACAAGTAGGCAGAGAGGCAGGCAGAGAGAGAGGGGGAAGCAGGCTCCCCGCTGAGCAGAGCCCGATGCGGGGCTCAATCCCAGGACCCTGAGATCATGACCTGACCCCCAACGCAGAGGCTTAACCCACTGAGCCACCCAGATGCCCCTGAGATTTTAATTTTAAAGGGAGAAGAAAACATGCATGGGAGAAAAAAAAATCCTGAAATGTAAATGAAGTTGTAAGCGATTCTCATTTTATTTATTTATTTTTTAATTAGGCTCCACATCTAACATGGGGCTTGAACTCCCGACCCTGAGATCAAGAGTCACATCCTCCACCGATTGAGCCAGTTACATGCTCCAAGAGTCTTATTTTAAAACAAAGTATATGAAAACCATTCAAAAAAAATTGGCTTTGACAATGTCTTGACTACACTTTTATCTTAAAAATTCAAAATCATCGTGAGGTGAGGCCAGTCAAGAGAGTAAGAAAAATATGATAGGAATTACTTGGAAACAGGGCATAGTAAGAGGTTTATTAGTCACCTGCACAAATTAGCAACAACTTGTCCAACTGGGCCAGGTTACAATTAGTTCACAGTGACACTAATTTCATTCTGCCATAGACAAGAGCACAGCTACGTCTCCTCAACAGAGGATTTTATTACCAAACCCATATTCTGGCTTTTCGAATGGTCTCCCAACCTTATACAGCATGCCTCCACAGTATCTGTGAGTAACAACGTCCCTGAGAGCCCTTCAGAGAGCAGAGGAGAACACCTTCTCGTGGAGGAACATCAGCTTTTCTAAGCGAGTTCGTTTCAGGAGCGGGAGCCACTCCCAGTGGAATAACTCGACCACGTGGTACCCGAGCCGCTTCAACTGCCGCCTCTTCATATTGTGCAGCCCGAGCAGATCCCTGGAACCGTAGCAGTACTGGTTCTTGTTTGTCAACTGAATAGCCAGCTTCACTTGTGGGGCCTGCAGGCAGGCTGGGGGATGAGGGCCTGCCATCTCCATGGCCCCCAACCTGCCTGCCACACCGCCAGGGGAGCTCCCCAAATGTATGGCTGCCTTCGCTAATATCCCTGCCTGCTGCTCAGTCTTTGGCTCAGTTTCTCTCTGGAAATGTACTCTTGATTTCCCTTTTAGTAGCTGAGTCATCAAATCATCTGTAAGGCTGACTCCCACGTGCTTCAGCCTCAACTTGGCTTTATCTTCAAGTGGTACGGCTTCTTCGTTAAATGGTAATGGCTTCATGTTAACGTCAAGCTGGACCTCTAAGTCAGAAGACCGGGTATGAGGCAAAATCATATGGTGTTTGATGTACTGGGGCCCGCCCAACATGTTTTCCAGTAAAAAGAGAGCTTCTTGGAATTCAGGCTTTGAGCACATATCCCTCCTCGCTAAATTCCACAGCATTTCCGACCCCTCTTGCTGAAGGTGAGCAGTAAGACGATTGCCTCTGTAATCTAGACACTCAACGCCGACTGTACCATCAAGAGTATATAACTCCTTAGTGAGTTCGAACTTAGTTCTCTCCTGAGCTAACCTGATGAACTCTGGACTCAAAGCAAAGTTGATGAGCTCTAACGGAAAGTACTCAGAAAAGGCCAGGCCCAGCAGGCAGGTGAGCAGGTGTTCTGGGTATCGACTGAACTCAGGCATCTTTCTGTGAATCTCGTTTATCAGACTAGAATAAAACTCTTCTGTATTGGGTGGCTTATAATTCAGAGTTCCAAATGACCACAGAATCTTGGCTATGTCTTTACTTCGACAGAATGCCACCCGAGGCGGCAAAGAAGCAGCCACAGCATTCATTAGCCCTTCATCCAGGATGCGTAAGGCTGAGCAAGCAAGAGTCAGGTGCATGACACCCTGAACTCCTAGAAAAGGAATTCGCTGAGGAGCGATCTGGCCAAATTGCTTCATGAAATTTACGTGATCCACATGAGTGAAACGGAACATTTTAAGAATATTCACTAGGGCATAATTACTCAGATGCTGCATGTCAGCACAAGCCAAGTCTCCAAGTTTCCTCATGACATATTCAGAGAGACCACTGCTTGATTTGAAGAACCCCAAACAGATTGTACCAATCTCCTCTAAATTGATCGAGTCTATATACTTGAGAATCAACGATTCCAGTTTTTTCATGAGGTCTTGGGGTACCTGACGACTTTCACCTATAATATATATTAGGTGAATCAGCTGGGACAAGGATAGATCTTTCCAATGCAAATTAAGGTAACTAAAAAAGATTTTAAAAAACCGAGGTACTTTGCGGCCCAAGTGCCGCCAGAGGTCAGCCACCAAGAGAAGCTGATCTAGACTCATCTCCCACACCTTCCTGCAAAATCTGATTTCATATACATCCAGCACTGAATGGGAGCAAGGGATTCCTAAACTGACAAAGGCTTTCAAAATATTGATCAGATCTGGGACATCAAAGAGCTGTATGTTTTTCACACTCAGCTGGCAGAGCGAAGCAAAGCTGGGACTGGACAGGACTGCAGGGTGCCGCTCTGCAGGCAAAGAGCTCAGCTTACACAGATAATCAGCAATGACTTGAGGCTGGAGATTATCTTGAGAAACTGTGATTTTGTGCAAAATTAATTCACCTTCTGAAACGGAAAGGGGCTGACAAGTCTCTGATCTGTTATAGCTGTGGAGCTGGTACTCTGGTCTTAGCTGTAGGAAACCTCGGGGGTCTTCAAAGGAATCAAACACTTCTACATTGTCTTCAACAATGCCTGTGGACCCAGGGGAGCCTGGCTTCCACGTGCTGGCCTGTGAGGCAGAGACCCCGCTGGATTCCGAACCTGGAAGGGCACTGCTGGTTGTCAGGAGCCTCCGAGAAGTGGAAGTGCTAGGAATGTTCCCAGCTTTTTTGGCAGGCTCGCAGAGGCCGCTGTGTTCTGGAGGCTCCTGTCCCCTCTGCCAGGCGCTGCTTCCCACATTCCGGTATGTCACACTCTGGGTGGCACTGCAGGCAAAAGGACTGCAAAACGCTCGATATCCTAAAGGTTTTAATAACTTGAGGGTGGCTGCCATTCTGGGGTCAGTACAGATCATTCTGGCAGTCAGAACACAGTCCTCACAGGTTTGTCCAGGCAATTTCTTTACATGGTGCTGGATTAGAGCTGGACGGGGAGGCGTTCCACAGAAACTGCCTGGAAATCTTCGGCATATCGCAAGAGCCATTGGTCACAAATGACTGGGCCAGAATTGGTGCCAGATACTGAAAAAAGGGTAGATGAAGAATAAGTGGCTTCCACCTATCACAATACAAAAACGCACACATTTTAAGAAAGGGATTAAGCTACTGCTATCCACTCGAATAAGTTCCATGCTAGTAAATGCCCAAACCACAAGCCAGCATACATCAAGGATAAACTCCTTCTCCTGGATATCAAGGCATAAGGGGCCCACTTGGAGAATAAAAACATTGGTAAAAGCTTCTGTGCTGACTCCTAAAGTAAAAAGTGGGATTTGGTGTAAAGTTTAATTATGCCCACAATAACCCTCCTTGTCCCTAGGTATGAAGCTTTTGATTACAGGATTGTGTTCTCATGCTGCTCCTACACCTGTTACAAGATGCTTATTCTCCTCCCCAGGAGGCTTACCAGATATCGAATCACTATCACAGAGAAGTCACGCAATTGGTACATATATTCAAAAACTCCTTTTGGCGGGAGAAGGCAGAAGGCTGATGCCCCCTGCTCACTGTCACTTCACGGGTGGGAAGCAAAAAGCATCTCAGAGTTGGGCTGCGGGTTCAGGGCACACCAATTCACTGGCCTGCCCCACTGACATGCAAGGGAGCAGCACAGCTCTCCTCTGCAGGTGGCTATTAGCAATGTTGTCAGTGGTCAGGCATGGATTACCCTGCCTCTGAGGGGCGCAGTCCCCACTGTCCCCCGAGGTAGGAGCCATGAGGGGCTATAAAACGGACTCTGCGAAGCTCCTGTTTTCGCTAAAGGCTTTTGGCTTTCCCTACACTGGAGAAATACCAAAGCCTGACAAGCAAAACCCAGTGAGCCCTGAGCTGCCAAGATGTGGACCAGGTAGGGTTATTGCTGCACATGAGCAAGTTCTGAGGATGTCAGGGTGACTTTCTGAAATTCCTGCACAGCTCTCCTGTCAGCCCTTCCCTCCAGAGCCCACGGCAGGAGAACCATGTGGCCACAGGGCATGCCCCATGGCTTTGTTCGGGCAGTCCAGCTAAGCAGGCTTCTCTGGATGGTAGGAATGTATGCTCTGATTTCTTTGTGAACCACAGCAGAATTTTATCACACTAAATCCTTAGATACTTAGTTCTTTACCGTGGCCTGTAGACCATTCTCTCTACTATGTTTCAGTCTCTGGGTCCAGATATTACAGACCAGGGGTCGGCAAACTATGGTCCACAGGTCCAAATCTACCCTCTACATATTCTTTGGTAAAGTCTTATCTGAGCATAGCCAGGCCACATATTACGTATTGTTTATGCCTGCTTTCTCACTACAAGAGCAGAATTGAGTAACTGTGGCAGAAAATGTATGGCCTGCCTGCAAAGCATAAAATATTTACTACATGGCCCTTTATAGAAAAAGTTTGCTATAGACCATTAGTTTATTCCTATGAATGCAGATGGCCAACTTTTTAAAAATTAGAAAATATTAGAAAAGTAGTACTGAAATAACTTTTCCTTTAATAGTTAGAGATAACTAAAGATTTATGCCTCAAAACAGTCACTACAAATCTCAACCAATATTGCACTACAGGCATGGTAGGAACAAAACAGCAAGTAATAGAACTCTCCAGTTGACAGAATAGGGCTTTTTTTTTTTTTAAGATTTTTAATTTATTTTGGGGGGGGGAGGGAGGAAGAGAAGGCTTTAAAAGATTAAAAATTAAAGGTCTAATTAATTAATTTAATTACTTAAAATTTTAATTAATTAAAACTAAGGTTTAAAAGATTTAAAAAATTAAAAGATTTTTAATTTGGGGCGCCTGGGTGGCTCAGTGGGTTAAAGCCTCTGCCTTTGGCTCAGGTCATGATTCCAGGGTCCTGGGATCGAGCCCCGCATCAGGCTCTCTGCTCCATGGAGAGCCTGCTTCCTCCTCTCTCTCCGCCTGCCTCCCTGCCTACTTGTCATCTCTGTCAAATAAATAAATAAAATCTTTAAAAAAAATACAAATAAAAGATTTTTAATTTATTTAGGAGACAAGGGCAGGGGGAGAGGGAGAAAAAGAGAATGTGAGCAGGGGAAGGGGCAGAGGAAGAGGTAGAGCATCTCAAGCAGACTCTTCACTTAATGCCGCGCCCCACCTCACGACCCTGAGATCATGACTTGAGCTGAAACCAAGAGTCCAACGCTCAACTGACTAAGCCACCAGGGTGCCCCGACAGAACAGGGCTTTTAAGAAGACCTGCTTTAGAACCTGGAATCCATATTTGGCTCAACATAATTTGCAACTAAAGCCATAAACTGTCAAATCTGTAGACCTTCAACTCATCTTGAAAACTAGTTTGAAATAACAACAACAAAAGACAAAACATTTTTTTTTTTTTTTTACAAAATAACTGTGCTCTAAAGATGCCTGGCTGGCTCAGTTGGTAGTGTGTGACTCCTGATCTCAGGGGTTTTAAGTTCAAGCCCCACACTAGGT